AGAGGATTGCCTGAGCCCACGAGTTCAAGACCAGGCTGGGCCGGGCTCGGTGGCTCAGCCTGTAATCCCAGCACTTTGGGAGACCAAGGTAAGTGGATTGCCTGAGCCCACGGGTTCGAGACTAGCCTGGACAACTTGGCAAGACCTTGTCTCTGCAATAAAAAAAAATTAGCTGGGCACGCCTGTGGTTGCAGCTACTTGGAAGGCTGAGGCGGAAGAATCGCCTGAGCCCAGCAGGTGGAGGCTGCAGTGGCCATGAGCGTGCCACTGTCCTCCAGCCTGGGTGACAGAGTGAGACTCCAACTCAAAAAAAGATATTCATCACCACCACTCCATGGTTCATATTTCCTTTTTTTTCCTGAGGTGGGGTCTCACTCTGTCACCCATGCTGGAGTGCAAGTGGCACAATCACGGCTCACCACACCCTCACCAGAGCTTCAACCTCCCAGGCTCAAGCAATCCCTTCCACCTCGGCCTCCCAAATAGCTAGTTGGGACTACAGGCATGCCCAGCTAATTTTATTTTTTTGTAGAGATAAGGTCTTGCTGTATTGCCTAGGCTGGTCTCAAACTCATGGACTCAAGAAATCCTCTCACCTTGGCCTCCCAAAGTGCGGGATTACAGGCGTCAGCCACCTAGTCTGACCAGGTTCATATTTGTTACCCAGTGTTCAAGAAAACGAGGCCTTTCCTGTAGTTGAGAAGTTATAGGCCGGGCACAGTGGCTCATGCCTATGATCCCAGCACTTTGGGAGGCCGAGATGAGAGAACTGCCTGAGCCCACGTGTTCAAGACCAGCCTGGGCAACTTGGCAAGACCTCATCTCCACATCTTATCAAAAAACTAGCCGGGCTTGTTGGCGCATGCCTGTAGTTCCGTGCTCCTTGGAAGGCTGGGGCAGAAAGACTGCCTGAGCCCAGCGGGTGGAGGCTGTGGTGACCGGGAGCATGCCACTGCACTCCAGCCTGGGCAACACAGTAAGACTCCGACTCAGATGAAAAGTTATCACATGATATCCTTCCTCAGAATCATCTGAGAGAACAGGCATTGTTTGGGCTGGTGATGGTGTGACTTGCAAGGTGATAGCACGAGGCTGTTTCCAGTAGTTGGGAAGCTCAGGACCAGAGTCGCCTGCTTTGGCAACGAGCTTCGTTCCTGGAGACACGGAGAGGACGGAGAGCCATCTGGCTGGGACACTGCTGGACGTGTCTGCCTGAGGCAGAAGGCCGAGCAAGATGGCTCTAAGGCCCCTTTGACTACTTTTTACTAATTGGGCGGAAGAGGACACGGAGCATTGTGGGGGGGCCAATTTGAGGGCAGCACGCTGAGTGTGCATGGGGCGTTGTTGTCACTTTGCAATTTGATATGTGAAAAGAGCAGCAGGAAAGGCGGCTAACGGAATGGAGCGGCCAGCAATACAGGAGGGCCTGGACTGCACAGCGGAGGGGTTCGAATTGCATGCCGGCTGGGCGTGGTGGCTCACGCTAGCCATCCCAGCACTTTGGGAGGCCGAGGTGAGGGGGACTGCCTGAGCCTGTGGGTTCGAGACCAGTCTGGGCAACTTGGCGAGACCTCATCTCTACAATAAATCAAAAAACTAGCCAGGCGTGGTGGTGTGTGCCTGTAGTTCCAGCTACTTGGAAGGCTGAGGCGGAAGGATCGCCGGAGCCCAGCAGGTCGAGGCTGCGGTGGCCGGGAGCGGCCACTGCACTCCAGTCTGGGCGACGGAGTGAGACTCCAACTCAGCAAAAAAAAAGTATGCTGTAAGATAGGGCTGCTGAGTGTCTGAACAAGAAAGTATCAAGTTTTCTTTGGTTTTGTTTTTTGAGCTGGAGTCTCCCTCCGTTGTCCAAGTGGGAGTGCAGTGGCACACTACAGCCACCCCAGCGGGGACCTGCTGGGCTCAGGCGATCCCTCGCTGCAGCCTTCAAGTAGCCGAACTACAGGCGCGCACTACCACGCCCGGCTAATTTTTTGATTTATTGTAGAGACAGGCCTTGCCAAATTACCCGAGCTGGTCTCAAAACCACGGGCTCAGACAATCCACTTGCCTCAGCCTCCCAAAGTGCTGGGATGACAGGATGAGCCACCAAGCCTGGCCTCATGTTTTTTGAAAGAATTTCTTTGAGGGAGAAGCTACTGACACTTTGAAGGAGGGACAAGGTTGGCACAGTGCTTTGGGGAGATAAAACTGAGAGAAAACAGAGCTATCCATCGATCAGAACACTCTAGCGCAGGAAGGAGGCATTAAGGATCTGAACTCTGGGGTCGGCAGCAATGGAAAGAGAGTGAAAGGACCAAGACGGAGTCGATGTACCCAATGTGCAGCCATTTTAACACTGGTTAGTCTTGGCACATTTTCCTAGCAGTTCACTTTAACTTGCACGCTAATCACTCGGCAAGGGCAGAACCAGTTCCTCGGAGGTGGCTTGCTTTACAAGTTCCCCGCTTGCTTTGTGAACAAGCCACCCTCATCGGCCCTTCATGACACAGACCCCCACCAACGTGGCAGCGGTCCTGTGGCTGGCCCACCCATCTGCCCGCCATGTCCATCCCTGTCCTCTTCGGGCTGACTTGAGGCAGCCCGCCCCTACCGAAGGGAAGGTTTCGAAGCACTCGGCCTCAAGCAGCCATTCTGCCACGCTTTGGTTAAGCCCTTATGTGGCTGGGTCACAATGCCCTAAGCTTTGGCCCCCTCCCACACCCAAGGAAGCAAATCTCCCCTTTTTTTTTTTTTTTGAGTCGGAGTCTCAATCTGTCAGCCAGACTGGAGTGCAGTGGCCGCTCCCGGCCACCGCAGCCTCGACCTGCTGGGCTCTGGCGATCCTTCCGCTTCAGCCTTCCGAGTAGCCAGAACTACAGGCGCGTGCTGCCATGCCCGGTACTGATTTATTGCAGAGATGCAGTCTCGCCAAGTGGCCCAGGCAGGTCTCGAACCTGTGGGCTCAGGCAATCCACTCGCCTCGGCTTCCCAAAGGCGCGGGATTACAGGCTGAGCTACTGAGCCCGGCTCTCTCACTTTCTAAATAAACGGCATCTTCCACCCTAACTTAAGTGCAATTCCTCGCACTCTTCGCGCGGCCCCAGATCGCACCTCTCCCCGGCCACCCCGGCGGGTCTGACCTAATGCGGAGGCCCCACTACGGTTCTGACCCAACACGGGAACTGCCAGGCAACTGTGGACTGCTAGCAGGCAGGACAGCCACGCAGATGAGATGCCCTCTTCACACGTGCCTCCCGCCTCAGGCCCAAGCCTCGGAGGCCACGGGGTCCGGCCTCCCAACAGCAGAGCCACCCCGGAAAGGTCTTCCACCCTCAGATCTCATTGTCACGTGTCACAACTGTCTCTTCGGACGGAGACACGACTGCCACCTCCTCACAGACAAGTTGTTGTGAGGATCAGACAACTTAACATATGAAAGCCAATTGGAAAGGGGCAGGGAAGGCTGGCACAAACTATGTGGTGCGTGTCAGCCACAGCTGCCATCACTGGGAAACCCCACCTCCTCCTGGAACAACTTGTTTCCACTCCATGCCTGCTAAGCCTGTCCAGAACTTGATGCAGGCTAGATGGAGGAGGAAGTGCACAATCAAAGAAAGCTCTTGAGGTGGGGGCAACCAATGAGAAAGACGCGTCTGGCAGGAGACATGACTTCAAAATCCTGATGTAAAGGCTCTGCAGTCAGCAGGACATGGTGGCTCACGCCTATAATCCCAGCACTTTGGGAGGCTCAACTCAGGGGTTCGAGACCAGCCTGAGCAACATGGCAAGGCCTCCACAACACATAAAACAACCAACCGGGTGTGGTGGCACACGCCTGTGGCTCCAGCTTCTTGGAAGGCGGAGGCGGAAGGATCGCCTGAGCCCGGCGGGTCGAGGCTGTGATGGCTGTGAGCAGTGCCACTGCACTCCAGCCTGGGCAAGAGTGAGACTCCAACTCAGAAAAAAAGGCTCTGCAGTCTGCTGGAAACCCGACTGGAGACCGGGAGAGAGATTAGTACCACACCTGTAGATTCAAAACTCATTTGCATACAGGTGACAGCTGAAGCCTTGAGAGTAAAGGAGTTCCGAAAATAGCCTGTATAAAGAGACAGGCTGATATCATGACTGAACACGGGAGTGGCCAGTTAGGAGCTGAGCAAAGAACCATCACGGGAAACAGGATCTACAGAATCCGGTGAAAAAAATGCTAAAGCAGTTTCAGAGTCGTTTTTTAAAAAATGCAGTTTTCACGCAATGGTCCTGGTAACTCTCAGTCCCTCAGATGCTCTCAAGGGGTCACCACACCGCCCTCTGGAGGCGCTTCTCAGCAGTTCGGCACCCGAGCGGAGGGGCTGGTCCTGTTCACTGCTCAGTGCCTGCTCACTGCTGTACCTGCTGGGGGTCTTTTGCAGAGCTCTCCACAAGCCTCCGCGTAAGCAGCTCCGCTCAAGGTTCACCTCGGACTGTCCTGCCTGAAGCCTCCTCTCCTTTACCGCATCCAGTTCAAGTTTCTCTCCTAGGATTTTTCTCTAAGAATCCCATTACTATTTCTTCCTTCTGGGTGCACGCTTAGACTCTTTCCCCAGACATGACTACAGAGGTCTGATTTGAGGCTTAGAAACCTCCACTACTAATGAGCAACCTGCTTTTTCTTTTGGGTTGGAGTCTCACTCCAGCGCCCAGGCTGGAGTGCAGCGGCACTCACGGCCACCCCTGCATTGACCTGCTGGGCTCTGGCGATCCTTCTGCCTCAGCCTTCCAAGTAGCCGGAACTACAGATGTGCGCAACCACGCACTAGTTGTTTTTTTTTTAATTGTAGAGATGAGGTCTCACCAAGTTGCCCTGACTGATCTCGAACCCGCAGGCTCAGGCAATCCACTCGCCTTGGCTTCCCAAAGTGCTGGGGTGACAGGTTGAGCCAAGCCCAGCCCGGCCTGCTGATTCCAATATGGACAGTTCCTGAGCTGCACTTTGAGAAACAAAGTCAATGTGCAAGTAGGCAGCATAGGCTAAAGAGTAAAAATGATCAGTTTCATTTAGTTTTGTGAAGCTAAAAACATATATTAGGTGGTCAATCACAATATATAATATGTAATCACAGTTCCAAACATTTCCTTAACTTCTCCACATCTTCATCCCAGCCTCCTCCGTGGCTGCAACACACTCCCACGCATGGCCAAACCAAGAAAGCTGTTTGCCCCACTGCCAGCCAACCCCCAGATGCTCTCCTGTCAAGGACCCACACCCCACAGGACCTTTCCCGTCCGGGCTGCTGGTCCTAAGCACTGTGCTACACGGCAGGATCTGCAGCTCACACACTCCCGAGTGTGGGCCTGAAGGTGGGAGCAGGAATGCCTGTGTCGTGATTTGGAGACCGTCTGCAGCAGCGTCTAGAGGAGTCTGATGGGGATCTGAGGGAAGGGGGAATGGAATCTCGTGTTAATGGCTGGAAGAGAAAAGCCCATCTACAAAGAGATCTCAAAGGTTAGGTTTCAGATTCCATCTGCAGTCACTCACGTATCCCGTCTTAACTGAAATGGATCTGGCCCCTGCACAAAACCACATCGCTCCTGAAAAACGAGTCTGTTTAATAGTGCACTTCACGTATGCCACAGGAGTAGCAGGGCTGGGAAAAGACCATGGAAGACCATCCTTCCGGCTGGGGAAACTCAAGGTGCTCCGTTCTAACTCAGCAAGGAGCTCTCTGCAGCCTCAGGACACAGCCTTCCTCCTCTGCTTGCTCTAATCCCCAGCTGCTGAGTCAGAGGTGGAGTCAGGAGCAGTCTGGCTGCTGGGGCCAGCTGCCAGAGGAGACATGAGGGCAGGGCAAGCAGGCTGAGCTTTCTGGAAGCACCCTTGGTAAGCAGGGCTTTAGATAAGCTCACTTTTAATCACAGGAATGGGCAGAGGGAAAGAAGAGAGGACAGGAACCAGAGGCCAACACTAGATGCTTCTGATCCTCTCAGGTGACTCGCTGCTGGGGTGGCTTTCTCTGTCGGCCCCATTACAACAGGGGAGGGGAGGGGTCTGCCTGCAACATGGCCAGGCTGCTCTTGGAAATACGGCCTTGTCACTCTAAAGACCCCAAAGGACACAGTCATCACAGAAAATCTTTTGGGGGCCTTTTCTCCCTCAATAAAATAATAAATCTCCCAGCACCCGATTTCCATCATTAAATCATGAAACACAACAGTATGTTATGTATCAAAACTTAAAACTGGACAAGGTGCAGTGATTTTGAAATACAGCCTCCATCTCTCCTCTCTAGCAAGCAACAGGGGCAAGAACATCCCGCCACTTTCTGTGCTGACTACACTGACTCCAACTAGGGGAATCCTTGCAATTCTGTCCCTACTGTGCTTCCATCCCCGTCTTGGGAAGCCTCCTCTGCTGTGAGAAAAATGCTTTAGTGCAAACTCCCTTCCAAAATGGGGTGACTGACTCCAGGGCTCCCAGAGCTGCCTTCTACTATGCCCAGCATTTGATCGGCTGCTGGCCTCACCGTTTTCCAGTGCTGGTTTGATTCCTGGGGAAATACACTAGGTTGCCGATCACTGTGAAGGATGATTTGCCCAACTTCCCCCATTCTCTCAGGTGAAAGGTCTGAGTTGGAAGGGACACAGCCTAAGCGGCTCATATTATGCAGTAAGGCAAGAGCTCGAGACTCGAGGCGTGCGGAAAACAGGCGTCTGGTTCCCTCACGTAGACCCTCTGGTATTTAACTCTGCAGTAACTCTGAGAGAACTTTTGCTCAAACCCATTACGTTCAAGGGCTTCTCTCCAGTGTGGATTCTCTGGTGGCGAACAAGAGCTGAGCTGTACCTGAAGGCTTTCCCACACTCACTACATTCATAGGGGTTCTCCCCTGTGTGGATTCGCTGATGCTGAATAAGGCCTGAGCTATAGGTAAACTTTCCTCCACATTCCATACATTCGTAGGGCTTCTCTCCAGTGTGGATTCTCTGGTGCTGGTAGAGGTGTGAGCTCTGGCTGAAGGCCTTCCCACACTCGTTACATTCATAGGGTTTCTCCCCAGTGTGGATTCGCTGATGGTGAATAAGGGTGGAGCTCCTGCTGAAGGCCTTGCCGCATTCATTACAGGCATAGGGTTTCTCCCCAGTGTGGATTCTCTGATGGTGAGTCAGGGTGGAGCTCCAGCTGAAGGTTTTCCCACACTCGTTACATTCGTAAGGTTTCTCCCCGGTGTGGATCCTCCGATGTAGAATGAGAGCAGAGCTACAACTGAAGGTCTTCCCACAATCGTTACATTCATAAGGTTTCTCCCCAGTGTGGATTCTCTGATGCTGGATAAGATGTGAGCTCTGGCTGAAGGCTTTCCCACATTCACTACATTCATAGGGTTTTTCCCCAGTGTGGATTCGTTGATGTTGAATAAGGTCTGAAGTTCGATTAAAGCTCTTGTTACATTCATCACACTTATGGGGTCTGTCTCCCACAGGAAGTCTCTGATGTGAGATAAGATTGGAACTCACAGTAAAGCCGTTCCCCAAATCATTATACATCTCACTTCTTTCTCCAGTGGGGGTTAACTTTTTCTCAATTGTCACTTGACCAAAATCTTGCATTCTTCTATTCAATCTTTCTCCAGAGGAGTTCCCCAGCTGCCTCTTTAGACTGACTTCTTGTTCATAGGCTTCTTTACACTTAAGACCCTGAGAAATATCCTTTTGGAATCTTCCTAATAGCACCCCATGTGGTCCTGTATCTTCAGAAATTTCCTGATCATTCTCAGTTCTGGTCTCACCATCTGGCACAATAAAAAAAATGCAAATGTCACTTGTGCCTTATGGAAGAATGAAATCAGAGCACAGGATAATCACATGACTGATATTTATAGAGCTGAAAACACATGCCTTTCACATGCCTGTACAGAGGCCTGCCCTATGTGTGTAGCTATGGCAAAATAAGGTAAATGGCTAAGGAGACAGGAAGTGAATGAAGCAGAAAGCAAATCAAGGAGAGCTCGAAGTATAAAGAAAGCTGAATATGTAAGGGAGGATGGATCAAGCAGAGAGATAGAGAACCAAAGTTAGAAGAAGGTCATATTTCTCTTTTTTTTTTTTTGAGTTGGAGTCTCACTGTGTCACCCAAGCTAGAGTGCAATGGCACGCACATGGCCACCGCAGCCTCGACCTGCTGGACTCAGGAAGTCCTTACCACAGCCTTCTAAGTAACTGGAACTACAGGCATGTGCCACCATACCCAGTCTATTTTTTTACTTATTGTAGAGATGAGGTCGCACCAAGTTGCCCAGGCTGGTCTCAAACCCCTGGGTTCACGTAATCCTCTTGCCTTTGCCTCCCAAAATGCTGGGATTAGGGACATGAGCCACAGTGCCCAGAAGGTCGTATTTCTTAACAAAGTGACAAAGTGTTCAGAGAGGTCAGGGACTGTAGCTATAACTGGGAGATGGTGACTACAAGAAAGGGAGAGCAAATCCAGGAAACCAAACACAGACAGCTGGTGAGGAAAGTAGGGAAGGGTGGGAAGAAACAGCAACAGATTGGGAAGGCGCAAGGATGAGGACACTAGTGACCCAATGGCCCCGTGAGAAGAACAATCGTGCATCATCATACCACATAAGCCAGTCCCACGGAAACAGTCAAGACAGAGTTTAGTCTGCCTCTGGGCCCTATGCCTAGAAGGCTATGCAAACAATCTCAGTGTTTGACTTCTCTATTTTCGCTACTTCAGTTTCTGAAGGGAACTTTAGGCACAGAGGATAAGCATAAAGGGTCCAGAGTGTTGGTGTTTTTACTTTCTTCATATTTTATTTTATTTATTTTATTTTTTTTGAGTTGGAGTCTCACTCTGTCGCCCAGACTGGAGTGCAGTGGCCGCTCCCAGTCACCACAGCCTCGAACTGCTGGGCTCCGGCAATCCTTCCGCCTCAGCCTTCCAAGTAGCCGGAATTACAAGCATGCGATACCACGCCCAGCTGATTTTTTGATTTATTGTAGAGATGAGGTCTCGCTGCCCAGGCGGGTCTCGAACCCGCGGGCTCAGACAATCCACTCACCTCAGCCTCCCAAAGGTGCGGGATTACAGGCTGAGCCACTGAGCCCGGCTACTTTCTTCATATTTTAAAAAGCAAAGACAGGGTGATGAGTTTTGGGGGCAGGAACAGCTGTTTCTCCATCACCTGAACAGGTACCTCTCTGTTCCCAGTTTCCTTTTAACCTAGGAACCTCAGCTCTTCCTCTCACTCCAGCCAAGAGATCGTGTCAGGACTTAGAAATGGGAGCCCTGCTCACAGGGCAAGGCATGGGGCAAGGAGGTCTGGCCTGCTCACACTGAGAGGTCCCAGAGCTCAGTCTCAGGCCCAGAATCTGCAAGGGACAGAAAAGAAATGTACAGAGAGGTCTCAAATGGGAGTTAGGAAGATCCTGGCACTGCTCAGGAAAATGTGCTCATTAAGAGTAGGGTGAAGGCCAGGCACAGTGGTTTACGCCTGTAATCCCAGCACTTTGGGAGGCCGAGGTGAGAGGACTACCTGAGCTCCCGGGTTCCAGACCAGCCTAGACAACTTGGCGAGAGCTCATCTCTACAATAAATCAAAAAATTAGCCAGGCATGGTGGTACAGCCTGTAGATACAGCTACTTGGAAGACTGAGGCGAAAGATCACCTAAGACCAGTAGGTCGAGGCTGCAGTGGCCGTGAGTGTGCCACTGCGCTCCAGCCTGGGCAACAGAGCGAGACTCTGACTCAAAAAAAGAAAAGAAAAAAAAAAGAGTACGGTGAGAGACAAGCAGCAGTCTACATCCTAAAGTTTAAGCAACTAATTTCTCCATACAACAAGTTAAAGTTTCCATAAGAGCAGCAGGTGCGCTGGGCCCTGACCAACGCACTCGGTCGCTAGAGGAAACCCAGCAGAGATGGATGGGCAGGAGGCAGACGGAGGCCCAGAAAGTCCACTTGGGCACAGAGCAGCACCTCCCGGGTCCCAACACACTACTTCTGCAAAAAAGATCTGGGTTATACATTGAGTCCTGACAATAACGTGCAAGAAGTACCAAAATTAAAGACCGAGGCTTGAGTTTCGCCCCCACCAATTCAAGGCTCCTGAAGAAAGCAATGAGACTGAGACCTCTGACCTCACTTTCACTTTCTTCATGTGAACGAGGATAATACTAACTACCTCCATGACTGTATTACTGCAACGAGTAAGCGAAAGAATATATATGAAAACTCTTCATAAGCTGCAAATTTACTGTATAAAGATGAGTTACAATTATTATGTTATTAGAATTTTCTGAAACTAGGTGAATCCTCAGCAAACTGTTTTCAGCGACTACGTTGTTACTAGCAAACAAAGAAGCAAAAAACAACAGGGAGTTTTGTTCTACCCAGTGAGAACACGTTGCCATAATTCTCCAGCATCACGTCCCTGTAGAGGTCCCTCTGAGCAGGTTCCAAACGCTTCCACTCCTTCCGGATGAAGTAAACAGCAACATCTTCAAATGTCACCAACTCCTGAAACAACACGTTCTGGCATGCAATTTCAGGGGAAGGGATGGGGTGGGTAGCACCAAGAAACACACACAGAAACTCAGGATACGGCTGAATAATGCGTCTTTGATTTGAGAAGTGGGGAATGGTCAGGGCCCAGGGGTTAGGGTTCTGAATGGGACGTCATTGCACAACAGGGAAGAAAAAGGATGAAGGGAACGGCAGCTTACCTGGGACTTGGCCTTTAGGAGTGCAGCTGCCAACATTTCACCTCCTAAGCTGTCCTTATCTGAAAAGCCAGGAACTTTTGAAGAAGGAAGTGCTAAAAGGCAATAAAAGAGCCAGAAGTGAATCCATCTGCTTTCTGGCCTCCAGACCCACTGACTGCCCAACCCACAGAAAGCTCAGGATACACAGGGTCCTGGTACAAGCTGGGACCCACTCCCTCCTGTTTCTAAGTTCGGTTCCTCTGCAGCTACTAAAGGTACGTACAACAACAGAGGGACATTCTGGGTGGGTCCATCCTACCTGAACAGAGACAGCCAAAAGCCTGGTAATTCTTGGTCTCCAATCTGCTCCAGGTCTCTTCTGCCAGTTATTCTCTTAGTGAAATTGCTCAGTCCTAGCCTTAATGATTACTGTATTCTTGTCCATTCACTCAAGTTTGACAGGTAATCTGGCTCATGTCCTTTCCATTATCCTTCCAACATCTCTGAACCCAAACTCTTGCATGAAGGTTTTTTTTTTAAAGCTATTTTTTTCAGACAGGGTTTCACTACGTTACCATGGCTATTCTTAGGCTCAAGCGATCCTCCTGCCTCAGTGTCCTGAGTAGCTGGGATTACAGACACAAGCCACCATACTCAGCATGAAGTTCTCAGACCGGAGCAAAACCAGCAGCCTCATCCTAGTCCTGACTAAAAACATAGTGCTTCTCCTTTTTTTCCACCCTCAGATCAAATCTATATACTATTAATGTTTCCTGTTTCTGTGTGATCAATTGACTTTTTTATTTCTTTTGTAAAAAGTTTTTTGTTTTTAAGATACAGGGTCTCAGTGTGTTGCCCAGGCTGAAGTGCAGTGGCACGATCATGGTTCACTGCAGCCTCAAACTCCTGGGGGTCAAGCAATATTCCCACCTCAGCCTCCCAAAGTGTTGGGATTACAGAAGTGAGCCACCTTGCCTGGGCTTGTCTTTTTTTTTTTTGGAGACAAGGTCGCACTATGTCACCTAAGCTGGAGTGCAGTGGCATCATCATAGTTCACTGCAGCCTTGAACTCCTGGGCTCAAGGGATCCTCCTGCCTCAGCCTCCCAAGTAGCTGAAACTACAGACATACACCCAGCTAATTTTTAAAATTTATTTGTAAGCCGGGATCGGTGGCTCAGCCTGTAATCCCGCACCTTTGGGAGGCTGAGGTGAGTGGATTGCCTGAGCCCGCGGGTTCGAGACCCACCTGGGCAGGCGAGACCTCATCTCTACAATAAATCAAAAAAATAATTAGTCGGGCGTGGTAGCGCGCGCCTGTAATACCGGCTACTTGGAAGGCTGAGGCGGAAGGATCACCAGAGCACAGCAGGTCGAGGCTGCGGGGGCCGGGCACGGCCACTGCACTCCAGTCTGGGCAACAGAGTGAGACTTCAACTCAAAAAAAAAAAAAAATTTATTTGTAGAGACTGGGATCTTGCTGTGTGGCACAGGCTGGTCTCAAACTCCTTGTCTCAAACAATCCTCAGCCTCAGCCTCTCAAAGTGCTGAGATTATAGGTATGAGCCACTGCACCCAACCCTGGTCCTGTACAAATTTGTCTCTTAGAGATTCGAATGTCCCACAGAAACTCGATCTAGTGAATCAACCAAACAAAAAGTCCTTAAATGCTTTTTCCTGGTAAGCATGGGAAGAACACCCATTAGGACTGATACTAGCTCCGAAGTCAGTGGTACAGTCTATGAAAGCAAGATATATTTTAGTGGCTTTCTATTAATTTTATCCTTTTGCTTTTGGCTACAAAATGATTCCCAATTGCTTCCTCTAAGAACATGCTCCAAACTGCCTATGAAGTCAGTTGTACAGAGTGGCTGAAAAATGGAATTCAGCGATTGTCAGTTTTCTAATCACACACGAGGTACTCACAAAAATGTGAGTCACACACAAGGTACTCTTCAGAAATGTCTTTGTGCTGGGAAGGGGTGGGGCATGCACCTGTGGTCCCAGCTACTCTGAAGGATGAGGTGGGAGGATCACTTGAGCCCAGGAGTTCAAGACCAGCCAGGGCGACACAGCGAGACCCTGTTTCTAAAATAGATTTTAAAAGAAAAAAATGCCCCAGTTATAAAACTTATCAAGCACTTTGTTAATTACTGGTTCCAGTCAGCCTTCCCCACTAGTGAATAGCCAGGAGAGTGCTTTATTTACATCTAGATTCTAGTAGTTAGCCTAGTACCTGATGACTGAGAGGTTTCAACAGATGACTGCTGAATGACTGAATAAAATAACGAATGAACCCCTGTTCCTCACCACTCTCAAGCAGAGCCTGAGGTTCCTGAGATACACGGTCAGCCTGAGTTTCCATAGGTAGGGCTAGATGCTCCAGTCTCTGGTCTCCTAGCTGCAGATGCAACAGGAAAAAGGGTTTGAATGAAAATGAGGAAGCGCCCTGCAGAAGCAAAGAGCTCAAAGACAATTCAAAAACACCTCCTGAATAAGAAAGCGATGAACCAGCATTTCAGTTAGTACCCAAAAACAGCCAGAGGAAATGCAGCAACTGGGATGTGTCTTCTAGATAGATTCCTGTAACGAGGCGACGATCAGAAAAAGGGCCCAAACTTCTCAACAATATTCCACCCTTTGCTCCCCGCACACACTTTGAGTAATATTTGTAACAACAAAAAAGTTGGTTTATATATTCATCAGGATAAAAAGACTAGTCCCAGTTGCTGTGCTTCCTCTTATGAAGAAGGCTGTAGCCTTTTTATCTCTGTTTTCTTATAACACGCTGCCTTGAATCAGAATGTAAGTCCCTGAAGCAGGGACAAATATTTTTTTAAAAAAAATACGAGCCGGGCTCAGTCAGTGGCTCAGCCTGTAATCCTGCGCTTTGAGAGGCCGAGGTGAGTGGATTGCCTGAGCCCGCGGGTTCGAGACCCACCTGGGCAACTTGGCGAGACCTCGTCTCCACAATAAATCAAAAATTAGCCGGGTGTGGTAGCGCGCGTCTGTAGTTCCAGCTACTTGGAAGGCTGAGGCAGAAGGATGGCCAGAGCCCAGCAAGTCAAGACTGTGGTGAGCGGGAACATGCCACTGCACTCCAGTCTGGGCGACAGAGTGAGACTCCAACTCAAAAAAAAAAAAGAAAAAATACAATCCTTTATTATTCTGCTCAACTCTGTCTCAGAGCCAGCCATCCATTTTTCTTATCAACCACCTTTACAATTTCCAGAACTATTTATGAGCATAAGCCCTAACAAATCAGTTCTCGGTACAAACTCTCCTTGAAAAGGAAGCCAAAGACTCAGAGAACAAGGCAGTGTTCCTTCCTCACAGCTGGGTTCAGCAAAGCTAGAGTTCAAAGGCATGTTGTTGAGAACAAGTCCCCAGTGTCTGGGTCAGTAAACAAAGATTCTCATGGAAAGACAACTCCCCATTGTGCCCCAGCTTCAGGTCCAGGCAGCGCCCCTCCCCAGCCCGGCTGCCCACCCCACTGCCTAGAACTGCTCCTGGGGACTGAGAAAGATGACCTGGAAATGAGAGCAAGCCATAGAAAGCGTTACCTGCTGGCTCCTTTCCTTCCTTCCTTAAAAGTTAGTCCTAGCAGGCCAAAGTAGCAATTACTGGGAATATGGCAGCCTCTGTTCAAGTTCCTGGGAATTCTGATTTTGATGAACACCGGTGCTCTCTGATTAACGGAAAAAAGGAATTGAACAAATTCATGTAAACTTCGTTTCTACCCTAAATATTTAGAGAGAGAAGAGAGAATACCGATTAAGACCACCACAACAGATATTTACCCTGCACCCCAGGAGAGAGGTGACAGGGAAATTCAAGTTCTGGGAGTCAGTCACCACCCACTCTCAACTGTCAGCTAACTCCACTGCACTCTCCACTCCTTCAGCAGGGAGTCTGTTCCACGAGGCCGGGCTGAGCCATTAGAGGCCTTCAAGTGGTAAACTGAAACTCTATCTCCTTGACCCTTCACCTCCCAGAGACCTGGTGCCCTAAGGAGCTTCAATGACAGAATCTTCTCCTTCCACATGACTGTTCACCAAACGCTTCTTTTTTTTGAGTCTGAGTCTCACTCCGTCGCCCAGGCTGAGGGCAGGGGCTCGCTCCCGGCCACCGCAGCCGTGACCTGCTGGGCTCCGGCGCTCCCTCCGCCCCA